ATAAAAATAAAAATTAAGCAAAAATGGATAGTGACTAGCAGTGGAATCCAAGATGTGCGTTTCGTCCTATTTGGGACTCGTCAGCTGGATGTACCTGCATCCCAGAGTTGATGTTCAATCTGGGAATCGAACCCAGCATCGGACTGAACATCAACTCTGGGATGCAGGTACATCCAGCTGACGAGTCTCAAATAGGACGAAACGCGCATCCTGGATTCCACTGCTAGTCACTATCCATCTTTGCTTAAAAAGCTTGTAACTTAAGGCTATATCGAGGCAATCCGCATAGGATGCACATATGCCAACAAGAGACCTATCAATTGCAGTCCTAAATAGCAGTTGGAAGATACAAGTAATACAACACCAAGTGAAAAATAAAAATTGTCGGTGTAATCGAAATTTATGTATAATGATAAATCATTTGTTAAATTTTAGAAGTCATGATAAACTAGAATATCATGATGATGTTGTTAGTGATCAATCAACTACAAAGATTTTGTTATTTTTATGTGGATTTGTACTCTAATTGACGATTTTGATCTCTCACCAAATAACTAAGTAATCTGGTTCACATAATTTGACGGATTGGATTTGTGTTTACATGTCTACTGATTGCAGACTTATTTCAATTTGACGCTGCTATAGAATCCCTGTTGTTTTTGAAATTCGTTCAATTCACGATTTTGACATTTCCTTAAAAAATTCGCCTCTGTGGTTATCTACATATAGTTGTATAGATAAATATGTATTGTATTAATTACTTATTAATCCAAGTACGTAGATGCATGAACTCCGCCTGGAGCCCCTCCGGGGGCTACTGCCGGTCCCAAGCTTGGATGAAGGAGTTGGGTTGGGTATGGGGTTAGCGACCCCATCCCGTAGAAAACTAACTCGCTAAAAAAACGCTAACCAGAAAAAATTATTCAACGTAGATGCATAGTAGCATTGGAACAAAAGGGAGGTGACGTAAAAAAGAAGTCAAAAACTTATGGTACATGAGGTTTTTATTCGCTCTCTAAAAAGTATGACAATTCGTTAATCAAATGAACTCATATGAATAGAGATTTTGCTGCTGTGTGATGATAACTAAATGAATACAATACATAACGAAAAATAAGGGAAATATAAGAGATCATTTTATACTGAATTAATACAAACGAATAATTTATTTTATGTTGAACGAATATCACACTGAATTAGTACAAACTAATCTAAAACTAAACAGATATTACACTGAATTGGCACGTAATTTCTCATTTTATCTAGTTCTAACATGAAGGTGACGGTGAGTACCGACTGATGTATGAAAGAAATAGTTCTTGTCTGACAAGACAGCTAATATTATGGGTATTTCTAGTAAAAAATTATTTTATGCCTATTTATGAAGCCATTAAAAAGATATGAAGACATTCTGTACATCAGTTCCGCAAAAAGCGTTTACAGGTGAATAAAAACCTTCAAATTCCAAAACGAACCAGCTATCCTTGTCGTAACTCAACAGCTATAGGCCTCTCAGAAAGCGCTTTATCCTCAGACCAGTGAGCTGGAGTCCAGTGGTTTAAATCTGTAACTTCAATCAAAAAAGAATTTTATTTTATTCATCGTGAAACAATGCTGCTTAGTTATTTCAGTTCATCAACAAATATTACAACAATCTCTTCAACATGACTTTTTTAATATCACAATCATTTAAACTATATTGTGTGAAACTACTTAAAGAGAGATGATAGTTAAACTCAATATTACATTTCTGTGAGAACATCAAAGTTGGTAAAGTAGGATTAACTTGGTTGATTGAGAATCTTTAATTATAATACAAATGAAATAAATAATGAAAAGAAAGTATGTAAAACATCATTATTATCTTGGAGAATAAATTCCGTTATTATTAAGATGCTCTGGACTGTGATTTATTCGTTTTGTCTGTAACGGTGAATATGGTCCAGGATGCTACTCTATCGAAGCATGGACTTCAGCAAGTTGCGAAGTGTGTGCATCACGGTTGGTTAAACAAAGTCGATGATGATTTAATAGAGTATTTTGAGCGACCCATTTTCAATATCATGATGGGCAGTGACCGAGGTCCGGTGTTGAAACACGACGTGCTGCACACTGACCTCCCACCTGACTAATTGAGCGAGAACACATCAGTGGATGAAAAAGCATGTTGGGCTACCGAACAATACACACAAAAGCTCATGTATATATATATATATATATATATATATATATATATATATATATATATATATATATATATATATATATATATATATATATATTGGAAAATCAATCCATTTCTTAGCCAATTATATGCATTCGTCTTTCAAGTTGCTTCACACTATCACCTTTCTGAAAATTATGTCCTGCTCCTTGTATTTGACTGAAAACGTCGAGGAAAACGTCGTCTTCTTAGGGTTTGACCATCGCGTCTACTGCACTAATCTTATTCCTCAGGATTGACTGCATCAATTAAATTATCTAGTGGCAAGTTCGAGCTGGGAAATTTATTATCCGGATTTAGTCATCAATCGCGGATGTGGTTTACATGTCGCGTCAAGCATTTCTGACAAAAACTAATCTCGTACATTACGTCACTGACTTTTATTACGATGACACCATCTACTGATGCAGATCTCCATTGTCGAAAGTTTCTTGCATACACTGGTAACTCATTAGGAAACTGACATTCGATTCTCCTCACATTGGGTTTATAATCTCGTCTTGTTCTTTGTGGGTATATAATATCAAATGAAGTCCCATTCTTCTCTCCAAACATTGATTCAGCTGGTGAGACACCATTAGGTGAGGCTAGGTTCGGGGTTATTCTGTTTTCTTTTAGAGAGTCTTGAATGACTTTCTCCGTCGTGCTCTTCCCCTGAGACGTTAAGAGAACTCTTACAAAGTGTCGAGAAAACTCTTAGCTTGACTGTTTAACTGAGGATAGTTTGGCGGTGACCGAATGTGTGTAGCTGAGTTCTCTAAGAAGGCATTCGAAATTTTCGACATGAACTGAGGTCCATTGTCTGTAACTAATGCTTACGAAAAACCAAATTTCCCAAAAAGCCTATTCAGCACCGTTATTTTTGATGTCGATGAGGTCCTTTACATTTTACTTTATACTATGATACACTTAAAAATAAAAGGCTTATGTAAAGTGAGTTTTCGGTCAAATGTGTCATGAAATCATTGATCGCAGTGTAATAAGATAACCGAGTGGGCAATGCTGAACTTATGAATTTACTTCTATATATGCAGAAAGAATTGACTGGAGTATCTAAAAATGTTCATTTATGAATCAGGTTGAGATAAATGTCGTTCAGAACAATCGACAAAGTACATCAAAGTCATACATTGCCCAAAATATCAGTAGGTTGGAATTAAGACATCAATATTTGGATGATATTTGGCTGCTCCCGGAGATGTAGATCAGTTGTTTGTGGTTGATAAGATGATAGTTATCAGTCATTGCAGCCTAGTAAAATAATTCAAAGATGATCACCTTGATGTAGTTGTATTCAAACCTCATCTCTCCACAAATTGTAGTATTATTCGCGTTTCACGATTATTAGTTTATTGTTTAACTAAATTCATTAAATTTATGTTAAAGTTTTCTGTCTGTATTTTTCCCAAGATGAATACTTCATACATTAGCCCTAAGTGTAATTAACTTTGAAGCTTCCTCGATCATCTAAAACAATAGAACATGAACAACGGAAAGTATTATCATTAAATGCATATTAAAACCATGAATCATAATTTTAATATTTATTGAAATTCAATATGCAGTTAGAAAAAACCTAGAGATCATGTTTGTGAGGACACTTGTGAATCAGTTCATTATTAGTGAAAATACGCGAGGGTGTGGTATTAATCACGTGAGTCTGATGTAGGTGAAAATTTTTGTTTGACTTATTTACTTATAATAATTCCGCGTCATATAAGATTAGCAACAGTAAACGAAGATAAAATAGAAAGATAGTCAACGGAGAAAATTCCCATTATATATCCTTAATTGTCCAACACCTAGCCAATGACTTATCTGAAGAGCCTATTCCCTGAGGAGCAATAGTTTCCTGCAATTCACAAAAATAAATACAAATGCCATTGATTCTATGATTAGGTTTACCACATCTTTCTTTATACTAATATTAGTAAATGGGGCTTAAAATCTATGGTAATATTTTCCGAAAAACTATAAACAACTTCAAAAAACTTTTTAAATGTCAAGCTCTAGTTCTGTTATAAATCTCATCGATGTTCATTATGCAACGTTACTGAATGAAGTCAAAAGTTGAAATTTAAGAACAATTTGAATGTTGGAATACATTTTTGCATCATAAACCGGATGGTTATTGTTCATTCATTTTCTCTAAAGAAAGCAATCATTTAGCAAATCAACCAATGTAAAATTAAACCTAAATACAAGACTTAGTAATCGGTCAGTAACTGCAAATAGCTACATAAGAATATCCTTATTTTGACATTTTATGTTTATTTCACGTAGGTTATACACACAATTGTGACACTTATGTATTAGTGTAAAGTTATAACGAGGAACTTACGGTAAAATACATTTCTACCGATTGTTTAAATTTTCCCGTGTTTAGGACTGCAGTTGATCAGTCTCTTTGGATATACGTGCATCCTGTGCGAACTGCCTCGATACTACCACTAGATCATAAGCATCCTGAGCAGTGATAGATAGTGACTAGCAGTGGAGTTCAGGATGTGCGTTTATTTTCATTTAAAGCTCATCAGTTCGATGTGCCTACACTTCAGAGTAAACATCAACTCCGAAAAGCAGGCACATTTAGCTGACGAGTTTCAATTAAGGAGAAACCAGCATTCTGGATTGCACCTTTAGCTACCATCTTTCTCTGTTTATAATAACAAAATATTCCTTTACCCAGCTAACATTTCTAATGTATAGTTTGATGAAGCATATAAATCAATCTTTCCCCCTCCCAAATGACAAATTGACTAGAGAAGAGAATGATTTTTAAGTAACAAAAACAATTATTTTGATAAATAGAGAAAAGCCATTAATCATTAACATCTAATTGTAAAGAAGTTATTATTGATCGTACTTGAAAATTTTTTGGAAAAAATCACGTAAAAAGTAGTTTTTATTTCAAGTTAATAACACGTATAAAATTTCAATGACAAATAATACAAATAAGAATGATAATTACAGAATTCACGCCAATTTACAGTCATGACCAGTGTGATATAATTAGTAACATTAAATATAGATTGTTTTAAGTTTACTAGTTCAAAAATTGTTTAGGTAGTATATTTATGATATGCATTACAGCAATTGAATGCATTAGACGGGAACTTTTAATTATTCTGAAGTGGACATCCTGTTGATTTATATATGGTGTATTTAAGATCATTTCCTGTGTCATAACTACAACTAGAGAAAGTAAAATGAAAATAGAGAGCACGGAACAACAAAATAATAATTACTAAAATATATCAATCAGGTCTACCGTAATGTATGTGTTATGTGACTTAGTGATATACTGTTCATGTTAGATATTATTCAAATTAGTTAGGGATACCAGGGACGGTGTTTACGTATGGTAACAGAAGGTAGATGGTTTACTCAGGGAATTCAGTAACAAGAATGTCTAAACATTTAAAGTTCTTATATTCTCACTTGTGGAACAAGATACATTTACAAGTGCTAGAACATTTAATGCATTTTCAAAGGAGCAGGGAACAAAGGATGGGAGTGAATTTATCTTAGGGATAGTTTTTGGTAGGTCATTCCAGAGTCTCGGAAATTTACAGGTAAAGTAATTCATATATAAAGATCATTTAGAATGGGTTTGTTTCACTAGTGATAAGCAGTTACAGGCGTCATAATTATAAGTTTCTACACATTAAATTGCTTGACTGTATGTAAAGTATAGTTTATTAAGTATTTTGAAGAAATAGATTAGATTTAATTTGAAGCTTCTCTTCCATAAAGGGTCGAGCCGAAGTTTATTACATCTAGAATTATAAATCCAGGTACAATCAGTTCTAAGAATCTGAAGTGTACGTCACCTCCTTACTGATCCCAACCTTAATTTATTCTTTATGAGCACACTATTAAAAGTAAACGTGCAGTATTCTAAGAGTGGTCGAACACAAACATTGTACATTAAAATGCGTCAATCATTGTTATGCATCAATTTCATATTGTTCAGCTCATGAGGATAAAATGAATACACTACTTTAAGATCGTCTGCAGATAGAAGGAGTTTACCCACACAAAAACACTCAAAAAATTTACAATGAGCAAAGGGCCTAAGACACTACCATGTATTACACCACTTTTAACAGGGACAGCGTTCGACAATGAAGAGTTAATTTTAAATATTTGATGTCGGTTATTGAGGAAGGAATCGAACCAACCAAGCAAAGGGTTTTGGACGCCGTAAGTTGGTGGTTAACCACGTCGAAGGCTTTAGAAATGTTCGAGTATAGCATTAAGACTAGATATCCATGGTTACGTTGAGAATAGGCTAAATTAAAGAAGTCAAAGTGGGATGTCATACTTTGGTGTTGGTTGACATTTTTTTTTAGTTCCAGATGTTCTTCAGTTGTAAATATGCTGCTCTTGCTTTGCCGATCCGCGCCTTCCCATCTGCATCAGATCCACCGTGTTCATCAATGAGGCTATCCAGATATGTAAAGGATTTTACGCCTTCCAAATCTCCATCAATTGTGATTGGGTTGGTGCATGAGTTACTTTAATGCGGTTATTGAAAAGGAGAATTAAGTTTTGTACTTTTGTGCTAGTAAGAAGTGTTAACTGCTCCTCATTCATGGCTTTTAACCTATGCTTCTCTTTAATTTGTTTAAACAATTTTGTTATTTTTGCAGCTGCTGTGAAGTCGTTTGACTTAAAATAATGTTTTTGTAAGCGTCTTAGTTCATTAAGATATTTAGGTGGTATATATAATTCATAAGATTTACTAAACCTGTACGTTTCAAGGGGTGCACAGGAATCTAGACAAGAATTAACGATCAGATAGAATGTGTCGATAGCATCCACGAGACTATTACATGAGAAAAAGTCAGCTCAGTCTGAGAATCTAACCATTGAACGCGGGAGTTCCCAGCCAGCATGCTTATAGTTCTTACATTGGCGGGATTTCGCATGGGTCGGTTATAATAGGTATAGATAGGGAGAGTATAAACTACTATTTTATGGTCACTGCTTTCAAATTCATTGTATACTTGTACAGATAGTGGGATGAGATCTCTAATAAATATATTATTATAATAAACAAGTATTCCAAACTTTTGTACTATCTCCCCATCTAGACATATTTCTAAATACATTTTTGATATGAACATGAATCATCTCGAGAGAATCGAATAGCTTCATCGAATTAGTTCATAACTCAGCAGTACAAATCTATGACTGTGTATAGTTCACAAGTCTGTGGCTAATAGAAATGGTCATCATTTAGAACGTAATTAAAGTGATAATTTTAACTTAGCAGCATATCCAGTAGATTGATGTATAAGTTTTTTTGCATTATTATTAGATGGAATTAGTCATTCTGATGGATAGTTTATTGATACGAATACAACATAGAGAATCGTATCTAGGTATTTAGATTTCTTAATGAACATCCTTACATTCATGACATCTTTTGTAACCTTACTTATTATTCAACTTCATAAGTTAGTAACCACATATGAAAAATCCTAAATAGAATTTAAATCCCTTTATTTTAGTCTTAACATTATATCGAATCTATTTCATTTTAATCGTAACTTTCAAGCCTTAGATTAAGTGAGTAGTAGAAAGGTAAATGAAATTGCATAAATAATAGTAATAATAATTCAAATTAGTAATGTCTATAGATAGTTTTCATTCTATCTTTTTTGTTTCTTCTCATGTTATGCATGGTTCAGTCATATAAATAAAGATAAAGAATCATGAAAATCAAATGCCATAAAAATAACTCACCAATAAATTCATTTTTATGACAGATAAATTATAGAATATTAAAGATAAATTATAACAAAATGAAATATAAGAAAATACAATACATTCATTTGAACATTGAACATTGTCAGAAAAACAAAAAAACAAACACCGGAAGATGTAGGGCAACATTAAATATTGTCATAAGACACAATCATTATAAAAGAAAATCTATTCATTATCTTATTTAACTATACTATTATTTTAATATACTGTAAACTTTCATTCTAATGAACATCATGGAAAAAAACAATTTATTTTACATATACAAATTTAAAAAAAAGAACAAAAAAACCAAGTTCTTCCAATAATTTAAAGAAAAAACAGATGATCAAATAGATAGGTATTTCTGAACTCATAATGTAGATAGAAAGAAAATAATTTGCGATACAAACAATTCAAAAAAACAAACAAACAAATCAATAAAGAAACAAAAATTGCTAAGGAAACATCTTTTCAAATGAAATACAAGATTTATACTTTAGATATAGACATTGTCTGATTTGTTAAACAGAATAACAAGTTTTATTTATACATGAAGATATTTAGAATTAGATAAAGTGAAATACAATTGGACAATGAGATTAATATTATAATTGTTGATGTATCTGATCCTGTTCCCATGAAAAGATTTAATAATAATAACATTGTATAGAACAATTTAGTTTAGTCGACAGATTTAAAATAGACTTACACATATACATATACACACAAAACAAATGAAAACTCATATATTTCTTTATTTTTTTGATAACCATTACAAGCATTAAAGAGCTTATAAATGAAGGAAAATTAATTTCTGAATGGTAATGTTGCTGATGTAAATATAATATAAATAGCAATACATTAATTGGAAATGTGATGGCACATTGTATGAATTACAAATATATTTTCACAGAATTAATCATATATCAATTTTATTGTCAGTTAACATTGGATTTTGTTTTATTATGTGGCTTAGATTTGAGCATATTTCATCACTGCACGTTTATTCGTAACGCAGATCAGTAAACACACTGATGGTTTGTTGTGTTTAAAGTACATCATTAATAGTGTATAAAAGAATTGAATTGTAATGTATATATTTTTCATCAAAATTCTTTGAATAAATTACGAGAACTAACACTGGATAAGGGAATTTCGGACCAATCTTGTTCAAAATACTGTTCATAACAGCAGGTATCACCATCACTCTGTACATTGGGAATGATTGGGGGCTAAAATAATAAAAGAAGGAGTTATTGGCGAATGATATGTATATATACTGCAGAATGTGATCCATTGTGCTTTGAAAAAGTGCTACATTATCCAGGAGACTATAAGATCCTACATTCAGTTTAACATTTTGCTATATGTAGGTATAATCAATAATGCTGAACTTCAATTCGACATATCCTTTATTCAAAATTCTAGAAATTTTCAAAATACCTTATCTTTTTGGAAAAATGAATTATTTATTAATTGTTGCTGTTAACATATCTCATTTTCGAGTTTAAAAATATCTTTTACATAGATTATCCACCATTTCTAAGTATTCCATAGAATCTAAGTAATATCACCAAGTAAAAAGGTCAAAGTTGGTTTGCTGATATTTAGATTTAACTGAGTAAATTAAACAGAAATAAATGATTATTCAATAACAGGAAGTTAGTTAAACTTTCTTGACAATAGTATTACATTATTACTATTATTAAGAAAACAAACAACTGTCAGAAATGGCTAAATATCATTCTCATTTTATGCCTATCACGTTTAATATGTTGGAAAGGTAGATTACCATGATTTTCATACTATGTTAAACTTTTAGCTGTCAAAACGACTGACATATTTGTTAGTTATTGTTTTATTTCTGTGAGGAGCTTCTTGTGATTTTGTACAGGAGTTAAAAATTACATAAGTTTTGAAATTAACATAAAACAGCTGGCTCACGGCAGTGCCTCTGAATTATTTGTTTAGAAAGAAATAACTTACTGGTTTGTATATATGCATCTATAACTATACATTTCTCTGTGTAAAGCATTTTATCAGGGAGTGATCTACTAGATATTATAAAAGAAAATATGTAATAATGTATAGTTCTTCTCTGTGTCAGGCTTGAGTGTTACTAACTTTAGTGGCACATAGCCAGTTCCTCGAGTAACAAAAAATGTCTTACTTTTACAGACGTTAAGAATCTTCACTTGAATTATGAGTCGGGGAAAAAATGATGACATAAACAGTATTAAATACTCATATTCTATTTCCAAGAAGTGACTTGTGATGACGATTAAAAAATTGCACGAAACCTAGGTCCAGAACTTCTGATCGACTACCTCCAACCACCTTATATATTAACACACTGCATTCGATGTCAATTAAATTAGACTAGTGAACAAACTACAACTTGATCTACAGATTCCCGTCAACAATAATGAACTAAACATATACAAAATTGGTCATTACTCAATGATTTATCAGTTGTAAATATCTCAGTCCAACAGGAGATCATTCAAGAGTAGAATATTTAAATGATAACACCTCGGACTGTAAAGCTTGGTGATGTAGGTTATAATTTCGCTGAAAGAATCAGTTTCATCAATATCACAGGTTTACCTTTGCTTAGGGATGTCAAACAACACGAGAGCTGGGTATGCAGTTACCGGTCGATTACCTCCAAACACCTAACACTTAACATCAATTTACTTCAATAAATAAAAACTATAAAACGGTGAAGCTTTTTTAAGTTCTGCAGTCACTAACAAATCAGCTATGTTTACCCTTGATTTTATTTTGAATAAATGTGCTGAGAAATAAGTTTAGTTAATTTATGTAGATTCAGTTACAGTAATCATGTATACAATCACCCTGGCAATTTTTGTTTGGTGCTCATTTCATTCGTAAGAGTTCACATAAAAATATAAAGACTGATATTTTTGTGCCAGATTCAAAAGTTCGAGCCAGAAATAACACTTCATAAATGCAAGTGTCATACCTCAACCTTGGTGCTTGGTACAAATTTCGGTATTTGTTATAGTGTACCGAATCGTCTGTAAGCTTTTTCTTAATGGAATCATATTAGTTGGATCATAATTTTTTTCCTAGTACCTCAACTATACTCATTCAACTTCAAACATGTGTTTGTGACAAAAAAAAATAAATAAGCAAAAGATAAAGAGTAGCTCTAGTTAAGTAAATTATGATTGTTGACATAATGAATCATCATAATTTATGTCCAGTTTGCTAGAAATCAACAGGGTAAATTGCAAAAGTCAATAGACATAAGATAATTCAAATGATTAGGCATCATAGCTCAACTAAGAAAACTTTAAACAATTAATATAAATCTCTCTAGCTGAAATAAATTTTCACCATAAAGTTCTATCAATAATATGTACTACTTAATTTTAAAGCGAACAGATTACTGTCCGTAATCGATATACATATCTGAAACTGGAGTGTCTAAAACTGATCACTTGAATATACTGCTTGTTAAACTCACTTCGATGTGACATTAGATGAATGCTACAACCCAGTCTATCAGTTATCGGTAAACATGTTAATTCTATTTATTCAGGATTATTTATCAGCCATCAACGTGAAACAATTTATCATAATTTCATAGCATTCTTGACATAAATATTTAAAATATGAAACTAAAATTGCATTATAATAAACAACCATTAGAGTTCATAAATTTGTTTGAAACTTCTATGTCAGTACAAAGAAGTTTCGTTTATCACATTTATACTAATTATTCACTGTTTAAAATCAAAATATTAATTTAGTAGACAATTCCCCCCCCCCCAATAAAAAACTGTGAATCACTAGTTTTAATATAATGATGTAACATGTCAGTTTGAAAATAAATCATGGCGTAGACAATGAGTGATATTTAAAGTTAAAATATGATGTACTTTCATTATGCATTACTAATGACTAACTTATTCCATTAACTCTATGTCCAAAGTACACTCACAGTTAATATGTCACTGACTTCCAATATAGGGTGACTGTTTACTAATGATAATGGGAAATAATAGATTCTAGAATTTCTCTGGTTACTTCTGTTTAGTCAGCTTGGTATCATCATTTATTTTTAAGCAAAAGGTGTGGATGTGTACTGAGTTAATCAGTTGCAATAATATATATCTCGAAATGTCATTTATGGTTTCTGTAATTAGCCTACTGAAATTAGAAATGTCCCTCAGTGATTTTAATATTCGTTCATTTTAAAAAGTAAATTAATACTTCATATGAAATAAAATTATACTAAATCACCTTTAACTTTCTCTGGAAAACATCACTCCAACAAATATCACTGAACCAGGGATGTTCTAATATTTCATATATACTATCCTGTAATAAAATATACACAGATAAACAAAAATATGTACATTTCTTAAAAGATAATGAGTAAAAATGCTCGTCCGTACAATTCTCAAAGATTATTAACAAGTAATTTTCAAATAGTAACTGATTTTCATTAAAATTCAATCATTTATTACTGAATTTAGATGATCTAGTATTCACTTATCTTTTCGGTTTACATCATTCTTCCCTCAAATAAGACTAACAATTAATTAGGTCATTTTCTTCTCCTCTTACTTGTTGATAAAGTCCTGATATTAAAACATTTTTAGGCTTTATCACAAGTTGATTGAAGTTGTATATTTGAACTATTAGCAAAATAGTCTAAAAATAACATTCTCATGCGTCTTAAATGTTATCTGTAATTGAATCATGTGTATACACTGCGCGGCAGTCTTAAATTCTAACTAAAAATTAATCTAATCTAATTTAATCTATAAATCATGATTATCTCTGCATGGTTGGGATAAATGAAAGATCTGTAACTAATCACTTATTAAATTGAAAAATGTAAAACAAACAACAGGAAAATAAACTATTCGATATTCTAGAAACAAATAAGTGCATTGTTGCTCATTCAGATTTGCCTCTATACACCATTTTAGCGACAGTATTAATTAATGTTGAAAGTTTATTGTAAGTTCACATTGTAAAATAACACAGTGTTTGCCGATTTACTTCATATATCATGGTCCTTAACATGTTTATGAAACAATTTAACTCAAATAGCTGAGCTAATAATTTTCTTATCAGAAAAAAGCCAGTTAGATTAATCAACCACAAGAGCACTAGAAGAGGCATCAGAGAGAAGAAAGAATTCTATGAATGTCTTATTCATTTTTATTACGGTCAAAATTATATTTCTTTTGAATACAAACTAAAAGTGAAATGCAGTGAAGGTCCTTCATTCTACTTGTGATTCGTCAAATAGATGTTTTTGCATACTAATATTGATGATCATAATAAGTTTAAAAAACAATATCTATCATTTCATCAGCCATTGCTTTACCAACTAAGCTCCTGAAAAGATTTAGTCAGTAAACTGTTAAATAGGTGTAATATATATCAATATTATTATTCTTTATAATGAATTTTGTTGAAAAACATAAAATTGTATAGAATATTAAGGGATTCTCTGAAGAAGGAAAGATTGATTTAATTCATATCTGAACATCAATAACAGGAAAGCAGCAACTTATAGCTAATTGTAAGTTTACTATACAGTTACAAATTTATCCTTCATAATTTTATTAGTTTGACAAAAGGCACTACAGATGATGATGTGAACTCTTAAGAACTCTAAAAGCTGATTCTCAATCTTTAAAAATGTTTTGTTTTTTCTATTTCTTACTTTAGAACTGCCAAGTCGTTCATTGAGATTCACACGTAAAAATTTCCTGACGATTGATCTATTCGAAATTAAAATGCGTTAAAATAAAACTGAGTAGATAATTATCAGAATGGACGAAAATTAGTAAAAACAAAACAATGAATCTTGACATTCTATGAATTACTTTTCTAGTTAAAAAAAACGCATTCAATTTTATTTTAAGATGATAACTTGCAAAACATGTCATAAAAAATGAAACAAAAAAGACCATGAAAATTAAAAATGACTAATACATGTCTTACTCTAAATCGAAGTAATATTTGGCACTTGGTATTGTTTGTTTGAATCTTCCCATTGCACAAGCAAGTGGCTACCATGGTTCAGTAGCTTAGTGGATAATGCGATGGCGTCTGAAGTGAACGAGGCTGAGTTCGAGTCTCAGAGTGAACATCAACTCTGAGATACATGCAAATCCAGCTGACGAGTCCCAAATAGGACTAAACGCGCATCCTAAATTCCACTGCTAGCTACTGTCCATGTTTGAATATAATATTGGTTACGTTTAACATCCGGAGTAGAAACATACGTTGAACATTTTGTAAAGATTTTTATAGTTTACGTACAAACATGTAACTATTTATCCAGGTTTTGAGATTATGTATTTATTCTCTAATGAATCTAAGACTTTTTTTAAAAAAATGTTTGATAAGAAAAAGATAAGACGTATGGTGCCTTCAATAAATACAGCCTTTGGTAAATTTATTTAGAAAGTATCACATTGAGATAGACACTGGAATATCAGAAATGTTTGAGTACCGATCGATTGCTTACATGAATAAAAAAGTTATTCAACGTTTAAATAACTCAGAAGATAGTACACCCGATCCAAATATGGAGTAATGCAAGTACGTTAGATAGGAAATTATCGGTGACGTGGTGCTTACATAGTCGTTTTTTATTTTCTTCAGTTGGAGCTGGTATTATGTGTGCCGACTGGAAAAATTCGTACATCAAACATTTATTAGCTAAAATAGTAATCCTGATTAAATGCTTATTAACATAAAATTCTAATGCTAAACAAAATATTACCAGGTCAGTTATGACTATTTGCAAACTTGTGAGAAAAATTTAGACAGTACTAATTATTAAGCCATATATTTTTAAAAGTAAATTATCCAGCTAAATTAAAATGGTTTAAGAAATGTTGAGTTGGTTTGGAAGTGACGGAAAACCAGAAAATAAATAGCGAAAATTATTGGTAGAGTGTACTACATTTCCTATTTAGATAAGCAACAGAATCATATATTCCCATGTTAATATAGTGAATCTATGAATAAGGCAGTTATCAACTGGGTTAACTTTATAAAACAGATAAAATGTATTTTCCCCAGCATATTATTTCTTAAATCACATGGAAACAACGATATAGGATCATAAAATATATTACTGCACAAAACAACCACTACTTACCTAGCATTTTCATCTACGATTTCGTCTGGGAAGTCAAAATCTCCTGATACAATTTTCTGATATATATACAATCGATTATCGTTTTCATCATAAAATGGTGGACGACTAAATTCAGTGAATTATCATCCATACAATTTAAAATTAATTAATTGAAATAGGATAAATGAATTAAAAACAAGCAATATGTTAAAGGATTAATTGACTTAATCTAAATAAAATTTTATGTTTACTCATTTTTATAATGTTAAATCTTTAAATTACTTTTATCACAAATAATTCTTTTCAATCTTAAATGATATTATAATAACATCAGTGTAAATTACTTTTGTTTACTATTCAGCTTTTCACAAGAAAGTTACTAAAGTAAATAAACCTTACGCTCTACGAGAAACGATAAAATCATCCATTGATTGATAAATAAACAATAAATTTGACTGAAACAATAAACCTCAAACGTTAAGCAAAATCAAATAATATTTATGTAATCTTCCTAAAACTGTGAATGTTGATGGTCGTTGTTTTTTTAGTAAACGTAACGGCTTACAACAGAAATGAACCGTTCTATTGAATGTTTTAAAAATAATAAACTCATTAGAGGAAGACATAATGTGTCGGTAGTGCAACAAAAATTGCATTCAGGCATGAAAAATAGATGTAATCGGCTTTATGTATTATAAAACTCATGTTGATTATACAAGAAGATATTTAATTAAATCTCGAAATTCTAAAAATTACAGAATATTTGAATGTTTGTTATTTAAGAAAATACATTTTGTTTTCGAAAGAAAATATAAAAAAACATAAAATTCATTAGAAACATGAAATTGTTTGATTTAAATTTTGGAGATTTAGGTTGTAGTCGTGTTGTTTGATGAACTTCAAGTGATATATGGAAGTAAAATAAGAACGAGGTGTTTATTCCCCTTTTTTAATCATGTTGACTATTTTTGTTTTTGATGTGTGTATTTATAAAATAAATTTTTGATGGGTTTACAAACGTTTCGTTTTTGGATCTTCACTTCACCATAACGTTAAGTTTATTAAATATTGCCCAATGATTAATTCTAACTCCTCATTGGTGAGTGATCATACCCACAACTGTATTTTGCATCCGCTTATTTAGAAAACTTGATCTTTTCGACCACATCACACTTTGGATAATTACACTAAGTGATAATGCATAACTTTACTTTGATAGATCGATATTTTGATTATTGCAATCGACTATCATTCAACTTATTATCCTGGTTTACACTAATCGACCAAAAAGTAACATATCAGGAAATGGGTTAATTATGTGATTATTTGGAAGATGAAAATAAACATATCTTAAATAAACAGATATAACATACCCAACCAACATTTCATAAATAATAATTCCTGTGGTCCACCAATCAGCTGCATGATTGTGACCTTTACCCTGGAGAATTTCAGGTGCCAAGTATTCTGGTGTACCACAAAGAGAATAAGTCCTAAAAGTAGACGAAACATCATAAGAAATAACGTATCAGTTAATGATATCATTTTATGTACTTTCGACTAATAACTATAAATTAAAGTTCTGTGGTAACATACTCAGTAGGGTCTTCATTTGTGATAATTTTAAATATTTAGATGAATTGTTTATTATCCGAACCAATAACCCACATATTTCCATGCTCTTTCATTTAAAATTTATCTCGTTTACACAAGTTTTGTAAAAATAAAACATTTCCTAATTGTTGATCGTAAGGTACATCAATAAAAAATGTATTTTAATGAATAGTTGTTTGTCATTAAAAAACTACTTGACTTGTACATGTATATTAAGACACCTTTATACACATCGTTTTGAAAAAATGGTTTTATCAACGTTGTTTTCTAGAACAAGACGTTTTTAAACTCTTATGAGTAAACTCAGATTATGTATGAAAAAAGCTTTTCCTTGCTTGGTTGATTCATTGAAACGAAATTTACTTAGATTCCTCACTGTCAAACGTACGTTCTGTTACAATCGGTGTTATGATATTTGGTCTTAATTGTCTTTCATAAGTGATGTTTATTATTACTTCAACACAGGTAAATTTTTTCTGGTTTTAGTATTCATTTTCTCACAATGGAACTCAACAAGATCTCACCAAGGTACAGGAAGTATGAATTAGGACGTAGTACTGAAAAATGTAGATAGGCTTGCCTGAGCGATCCTCATCATCAATAAAGCTTCTTCATAAATGACATGAAACAGTCTTGTTTTTACTCAGTAGTAGATTTCTATACAGCTTGTTTTGTTTTATAATATGTCACTAAGCAGATATCAAGGTGGTGTCAACTTTTGTGTTATACGCTGAGTAATTTGCATAGATTTCATTGTACATAGTATATATTTTATCAAAGAACACTATAATTTTGAGTAATGTTTTCAATGAAGGTGAAACTAAAGAAGAATCTGCTCTAGGTTTCTTTACTTCCTCTATGACTGTGCTTTATCTCAAGAATCCAGATGCAACGAAATGGAAAATGATCCCTTGCAGAATTGGAAGCTAAGCTATATCCCATAGTTTTTTAGAGGTTTTTAACCAGTCACCTTTTACATGCAGCAGTTCTACTCAACTCACTGAAGCAATAAGTTACAACATTCTCAACTTAATATCGATGTTCATTGAAATCATGAACTGTACAATATTAGACTACTATTGAATTGCTTGAAGCACTGAACGGGCTGCGCGAGACCAAAAGTTCTGGGTTTGAGTCCCACGTGTAGGATCTCGGATACATACTGCCGCGGAGCACGCGCTGGGACGGAACTGCCGCCCAGTGCCTCCAGGTTTTTAGTGGTGGTCTTCTGGTGTGTGTGCTACTGGTGTCGACAGATATAAGTAGTGTGTATCATCAATCGAAAGTGAAATGTCTGGAGGCAGAAGGTTAAGAAGATCGAAGGAAAGAGAACGAGAACAGAGGATGACTGGTGTGGAAACGAAAGAACAGTGAGGTCTGAGATGATTGATTGACATTTTGAAGTCACGTTTGAGGCAATCGATTAACATTCTGCAAATGAAAAATTTACTGTACAGTTCTCAGATGTTACTAAGATGTTCTGTGATTTTCTATTCAAATACATTTGATTGTCCCCATTGGTGTTGTCGTTCACTACAGTCTTAAACCGATCGATATGTAGTTTTAATGAAATTCAACAATATCCCCGACTGTTTACTGTCAATTTCAAAGGTGAAGATTTTCTTATTCCAATTCCATTTTCAATTAAAATTGCACTACGATGAACTGTTTAAAAATCTAAGATAACTGAAGCAGTCTATCCGTAAAAGCAATCAATTACAAGTTTTTTTATAATATTTAGTGAATATTTGTAACTATTTTGACAATATCTTAGGAGTACTTATATCAAAGAATATATCTTAGTATGTGGGGATGTTAGGGGTGTAAACATTTACAACTGAACCTGACAACAAAATGTCTTTGGTGTACTCTTTTATTCTTTTACGATGTTATAGGCATATATTACAAATTCCTCAGATATTACCTGATAAATCGTAGATTTCAGTCTAATTGCATTATTCACCTTGTTATTGTAGTGATATTAACAAAAATGCAGGTTAGTATTAAATAATCTCTTATATAAATCAGTTCGTCAGGAAGCAGTCAAAAATGTAAGCAGTAAATTTCAGATTTCTTGCTCTATGCTTTTACTTTCTTCTAGATAATATAATCATTGTTATTAGTCTGAAACCGCCTCACATTACACTATTCATTATGCCATTTGGCTATTCCAGTTTTCAGATGAAGAAAATACTGAATCCTAAATCCTCGTCTGTCTACACGTTCTATTCAAAACAATGGCAGCTTTCTATGGCTAGGAAAAAAAATCGAGAATTTAACAACATATCTTGGTACGATACAACAGTCTGGTTTGATTCTATCATCAACATCAACGCTAATTCAATTCTTATCTACAAGTTAAACTCGTTATTTCTCATCGCACTATAGCTTTTATTCGTAACAATAATCTCCTTTTAATACTGAAAGACAAAATGTTGTGAAATCTCAATCTGCATTCTGAAGATTAGAAATTTTAATATACCTTTAAAAGTAGAAAATTAATATTTATCATCCTAAAACTTACTCGACTTTATGGTTAGGAAGACTTTCTTAGAGTATCTACGTTTATTAAACATTATTTATAATGGTTATTCTATCATTACAAAGCTTATGATTATTATAGTACGTATTCACTCAATAATTTTACATTTCAAAATGACTTCATATTTGATTATTCATTTTGTATGTTTCTTGTGGTTGATGTCCTCACAAATATTCGATTAGAACAATTTATAATTCATGTCAGTACAAATATAGTATGTTTACTTTTATCATTGCCACATCCTTCAATGTCTACCTGATCATCCTTGTAAATCGATGTTGGACTTTTTTTAACCATTTTCTGAGAAGTTTATTATTGCATTATAAATGTTTGATGTAATGAGTACGAATTAAATTTTGAAGTTGAATCTAAATTTCATTCAATTGTAGGGAATTTACAAAATCTCTTAACTTTAGTCATGTATAATTCGAATACAAACTATATAACTAAGAATTCTAGTTATGATTCTAACAGTCCAAATCATGCTTATCATAACCATAAATTCTAAAACTTTTCTGTTTAATAGTTTACAATTATGGAAGTAAAATTACATGGGTAATTTTCAAATGATAAAAATATCAGCTATAAACAACGTTTATTTCATTTTGTAAGCAATGATGGATAGTGGCTAGCAGTTTAATTTAGGGTGCGCGTTTCGTCCTATCTTGGACCCGTCAGATGGATGTTCACTCTGGGACTCGTACCAAGTACTATTCGCCTCAAACGCCATCGCATTATCCACTAAGCTACTGAGCCATGGTGGCCACTTGCTTGTGTAATGGGGTGAATTTAAATTCACTTGGTATTGTTTGTTTGAATCTTCCCATTGGTGTTTAAGACTGTAATTGATTAGTCTCTTATCGGCATATGTGCATACTGTGCGTATACCTCGATATTGCCTTAATTCACAAGTGAACATTTATTCCAGTTGCAAAGTTGAATAATTAGCTTTCTTTAGAAAATACTTTCAAATACATAGTTTAAAACAATCAAGTTTTAAAAAGATGATAAATGTTATGTTCATTTGCATGATTTTATTTTAGATCAACTCATTGCTTTCTGTAGTTAAAATTTTTATTGACAGATTGAGATTTCATAAAATTTTGATTAGTGGAAATGAGATTACGACAAATTTTGTTCCTCCACGACAACATATTTGCATAGAACGTAGTTTTAAATAGTTTTTATTCATTTTATAGTTAATAAAATTTAAAAAAAAAACATTCAAACTAATTTAACACTCTATGAACAAATTAATGTATTTTAGTCACGAGTATTTCAATCATAAAATTTCAAGATTATAGAACGTTAAAATTCATGTTTACTGAGAGATGTAATGCGAATGGGTTAATCTATTTCGAACTAATTATTTGCAAATATTAAGTAATGTGTTACAGAATTAGTTAAAAGTAATGTCTATATGAGTGAATGGATCATGCCTTTCTACTTTGGACATATCATAAAGTAATTAGATATAACCCATATGTTATAATCACAGGTTAGCGATGGGGTCAATGAGTTCTCAGTATCTAGAGAAGCCATCACCAACTGATCACTTAATTATTTACCATACTGTAACAAATTAATCTCAATGACTGAACATATGTTTAAAAATTTTATCGTAAATTTGTTGCAAAGAACATTGAATCAAATCGAAAGAAACAGTCATTACTATCATAGGTCTTTTAGCCTTCTGCCTCATAAACTGAAGTTATTACTTGTAATACTACCTTAGTATGGTCGGACATATTGAATTAAAAATTAGTGTAATATTTATACATTAGTAAACGTTTTCACTTTACAGGTTTACAGAAACATTGTCAACTAACCGGTCTTTAACATGCTTTGCGAATCCAAAATCAGTCATCTTCAAATGACCTGAATAATCCAGAAGCAAATTTTCAGGTTTTAAATCTCTATACACGATATTCAAACTGAAAATGACACAAGAAAAATTGAATAGAAAACTTTTTCATATAAATAGCTTAGTTCATATTCGTTAAATCCATGAGTTAATATATTTATTATAAGAATACAACTAAACAAACAAATTTTCAAGTAAGCTTTTGACTGAGTATCATAACAAACTGTTAAATAAAACTCCCAAGAATTTGATAATTCCATCGGTTTACAATTATTTGTTAGTTCCTAATGTCGTTTATGCAGAAGGCCATTATACAATACATCATATGCTCGTTTTACGTTTGATATATAGATTTATAGTATACTTTAATTAACGGCTAGATATTCATTATCCATTAGATCATATAAGTAATCACCTACCATGTATCATTTATTCTTCATGATGTAATTACCGTGACTAATATGTACTCTAAATCGTACTAAGATGAAAAAGAATAAAGATTACAAAAAAATGGGATAAAATTAACAGCCTACTTAGTCATAAATAATATTAGTTAGTTTGAACCATGAATCATAGATATGACCGTTAAAAACACTTCAATAATGAATATTCATAAACATTTTGTTTTGGACACACTGATACCACTATAATAATAGTTTGTTAAGATATCGAAATTCGTCACTCTATTTGTAATATTATTAGTTAAATGGTTGGTGATATAGTATTTTTTAAAATTTACGTTATAACTAGTTAACTGAGGTAAAAACTACAGCGTTGGTTACCACTTTAACCAGCTAATTGTAAGTTAAATGAAAATATGGGAATTGTACAGTAGAAGAGAATGAGAAACAAAATCTCTTCGTGAGAGAAAAACATCTTTCACAACATATCTCGGTAAAACTAATTACAATATCGGTATAATTAACATATTAATCTTAGTATTTTATCATAACCTTATTTTTTAAATGTTTCACAAATAGAAAATAGTTATATTGTAACAAGAAATATGATCTGATTTTAAGCATATAACGATGTAAATGCGGTTAATGTTCTTAGTCTTATGGATTTTAATAAATGAGTAGATCATCGAGTTTTATAATTATTTATATATACAGTCAATCCGTGAAAGATATCACTACATCGATAATAATAACTAGGAGTGAATAACATAAAAATAAATTGAGCGAAAATTTCAGTGAAAGGAGATTCGACGTAGATTGAGTATTACGGATTCAAATACATTGCATTATATTGATATACTGAAATCATTATTACTATTTATTTACTTACTATTACATTTAACGGTTGTGGATATTTTCTTAAAGAAGACACCAGTATCTGAATGTTCACTATCAATCAATAACCACGATAAACCTAAATTTCATAGAAGCATCATCGTGATTACTTTGAATGCAATTTTCCTAATTATTTTATCATTAACTGAATTTCCCTATGCATATTTAAACTCATTAACCATGTTAAGTATTCCTTTTATTCCCCATCATGTTCTTTGTAATTTGATCTCTTTAGTTGTTATAATTTTTAAATAAGTGACTATATAAAGTGAAATCACTTCAGGAACCTAACTCAAAGGAAAGTAAATAATAAAAGATCTATCTATGAAATTATTCTGTTAGTATGATGATAGATTCATTAAAATTCGTATATGTTCTTATTTTATTTAACATTAAAATAACGAAATGTAAATGAACAGGTCAACGAGCAAATCCATAAGGAATTTCAATTCACTATACATTTATAATTTCTTGTAACATGCTTAGTAACTAATGTTTTTGTAAATATATATATATATATCCTTGAAAATCTTTTCAATATCAAGTATAAAGACTTCTAGTACGATTATATGTTATGTATACACTAGACGTTTTATGATGAAAGATTTTTAAACACTTCAATTGAAAGAAAATTTAAAGTGAAGACTGTCTTCATATGCTGAAAAGTTTCATATCAGGACGAAACAGCTGTTAAATGTTTCATAATTTTCACTGATTGTCTATTAAAGGGTGATTTCTGTTGTGAACTATTTTTAAAATAATTTTAGTTGAACAAAACTACATTCCCACTATGGGGCTGTGGTGATCAATTCATGATCTCAACCAAAAACTACATTCTGCAGAGTTTATAACAACCGATATCAACAAACTTGAATTTTGTAGCTTAACCTAACCAATGAATAAAGTAAAAAGCGAGTTAAGAATAAATAATATAACAGGTTAATTCAAGACAGTTAGACTGGAAATAGGCAATAAGAATTTAGTTCATAACTACAGAATAGTCGTTTCTAGTAGACGAAGTATGATCAAAGATGAACGATTATGTATTTTATTCCTTTGTTAGTCTTTTCCATTTGACATTCAAAGTACTCACATAAAGGTTTGAGAGTCACTCTATTCAAGTCTAAACTAGCAGTGTGTACAATAGCTGGCAAATGATTGAATGTCGTTAACAGTAAGCCTTGAATTTAGATTTCGTGGTAGTTAGCATTTTATCAAAACAAGTTTCGATGTTCGAGGAAAAGAAGTGCAGTTTACGATTCAACTCTGTGTTACTTGGTAGCAATGCATAACATGTTATTTATCATTACTGATGGTCTACTGTTGTCATTTAAATTATTATACATAGTTTAGTGGTTATCTTTGATTACTGTGGATTTTTTACATTACACAGTTGGAAACAGTCAACAGAATTTCTTAAATTTATTTTCTTGATACTCAACATATATCTGCAATGGTTTCATCAAAAAGTTCTGATTTGAAATGTTGCTAAAAATTGATGACTAACCTGTGTAAATATTTCAGTGCTAAAATTATTTCACTCGTATAAAATCGTGTAGTTTCAGATGAGAAATGGCCCACTTCTCGAAGGTATTTAAATAATTCACCACCGCATACATATTCAAATAACATGTATAAAAATTTCGCGTCATGTCCAGTCCAATATCTTGAAAGAAGAAAGATACAAACTTGAAAGTAAAGTTTTTCATTACTTAACAATTAGCTTATTGTGGGAAGTTATGAAAGAAATCAAGAATTAGGGACATATAATAATTTCTAAATTCGGCAACTAAGTTATGAATAAAATATATCAAATAAATATTACAAAATCGAATTACATATATATATATATATATATATATATATATATATGTTTATTCTCATTTGTTTCTTTGAATGATTATAATAGGATTATATAAACACATTATGATGATTTGAGCATGACAGTGGCTATATGTACTGCATACGTCACAATCAGTTTATAAAGAATAAATATTATTATAATGAAATACAAATAATCACATCTTTCGTTTTCATACATAATACTCATACATTTTATGGGCATTCACAATGCGGTAGCTAAATACTTGAGAATTTTCTTGAAATGAATAAAATTGAAACCACGTTATCTTTTCTTTGTCTCTTGTGGGATTCATTGGAAGTAAAAGATCAAAAATCTATATATATTTTATACTAAGATGAGTGGTATCCGACTTACTAAAGTACATATTAAAGTCCCCATACGATATTTTATTGAGTTATATTCAGTGTATTTATGAACTCTGATGTCCGAAATTGTAAGCAAAGGTACCACAGCTCTAAAATTTTAGAAGCAATTTAAAAGGAATATATTTTAAAATTACGATTCAATGTTTCCTACTAATTCCATCTTAAAGAAAATAATATGTTTTTCAATTTGCTAAACTTTAAGTGCCATTTTGGTGAATTCGATGTTACCATGACTTCGAAATTTGAACAATATTGAATGTCACTGAACAATCCTAAACTTGTCTAATATTTCAAAAAAGAAATTATCACAATTGTTTTGATGAATATCATTGTTGGTTGGTCCAACGACATACTTTATTATTCAAAATACGTTTTTATATTAAGGTAAAAAAACTTCATATCAAAAGTAGCAGTTCATATTATCATAAAGACTGATACGAATATATCGTATTTCTAATCTCTTCTTACTACTACATGAGAATGTTATAAACATGACTATATTTGTTACTTCTCAAAAGCTTAGTTTTTATTCAGTAAGTAAGAAATTTTATGTTGACATGCAGTGGATAATATAATATTATAAGCTGTCAACAAATGTATCTTCTGATATCCGAATTGAAACTTGAAATGTTTCAACGTTAAACTGGAAAAAAAACTTGATGCTATCCTGAAAAAAATTTTTTTAACAAGGTTCCCAGAATTCCTAGAAGAATATTAATAATTATCTACATCAAAATAGTCATCAATATCTCATGTTATTGAAAGTTTTTTTAAACTCTAATAAATGAAGTTCCAGTGAATTCTTTAAACGTATGCATATGCTTAAAAAGTAATTCATAAGAAAAACATTTTTATTCATCCAAAGTTTTAGAAAATATAACAGTTTCTTGGAGAAAATATCTTAAATTAATAAATGACTTCTTCACACAGCTCTTTAAGCAAGTTGTACTTTTAACTTAAAAGGTACCCATAGAATTTATTGCATTCGTTAAGTGTTATTACGACGTTTGTTATTTTATCAGTAGTATAATTTATGACTGTGAAATAACCTTTTCAAAATGAATTATGTTGTTTTATGCAAATTAATAAAAATCAGGTTCATTGAATAAATTTAAGAATGTTTTGAATATTGTCAACAAACTATTTGTCACTATGTGTCACACATTTGCATGGGGTATCATATGAAAATAAATGTCAAACAGTAATATGTGTATGCGAAAAGTGAACTGAAAGTTCTAAATATTAACTTCATGATTACTAACATTGATAAGATATTTACTTAGATTGTAAATAAATAGTGCCGTAGTGTATGCTCCTTATGTTTGTCCATATAAGTAGTTTGTAGAATCAATCGGAAGGGAAAAACCTGGCAGCAAAAGTTCAAGATCAAGTTGGAAAGAATAGATAGGGAAATAAAGAGGAATTTTCAACTGGAATAATCATACAGAATGTGAAGGACAAATGATGAAATTTGCAAATGAAGTATTTTGTATTCATATTTTACAAAGATATTCTGTAATTCCATGTTAAACAATAAGTTAATTGTCCCCATTTATATAGTTGATCATAACAGTGCTGTTCTATGATAACTGAAGTTTCATCATTTCGCACTACTTTTGAGGTCGATAAAGTAATCATAATAACTGATGAACATTAGAAGCGGAATACTGGTCATAATGATTTATTAAACTTTGGGATGTCTTTTTGACAACTAGTTCACAAATTCTAATATGAGCTCACTCTTTCTGAACTGCTCCAATGGAATGATTTATTGGCTTCATTATCACTAGACCTTCAAATTATTCAAGTAAGGCACTTTTGAAGTTTATTCAATTTACATTTATTTTACACAGAATAATAACAACTAGTGAGCAGAAGGAGAACAGACACTTTGAAAGTGAGAAATATAACATAGATAATACTATATAATAGTAACATATCGTTCACTGAATGAAGGTGAAAAGTGAAACTAATGAATTTGAGATCGACAATTTAAGGATATCGTACCGTTCTTAAGAATTAAAGGTCTTGAGTCCCATTACGTGTGTAGTTATTGGTTTTAGCCACCGCAGTGTTTCAAGCCTAAATCAAACAGTTTGTCAGTTCCCCGAGGATTCAGATACCTTTTTACATTTTCTTTTAGTCCGTACTGAAAACTTAATGCAAACTTTTTCAAATATATCTTTATTACATAAATAAAGAAATTGATTTAAAAGATAATTTGATCTGAAAAATACTCTTAATTAAACATCTGTAAAGGTATCAAATTAAGGAATTAATTGAGTATAATAGTAAAAGACTACCTACAAATTTGTTTCAAAATTAGACACAAGAACAATTACTCATATATATGTGAGAATTATATTTGAAATAATCTCAGCGATTGAAATTTAAATAATTCCAACTTTTCGTCCAGATAACATGTCTGGACTTCTTCAGGGTAATAATCAAAATCAAAATTATCAAAGAAAAAAATATATAGCTTTTTAACAATCAAAACTATGCTGTGTTAAACCAATCAAATTTGGATGTTGATTTTTGTAAAATAGGATAAAATGAGTCAGTTAACTACAAATCATGTGAAAAATTCAACTATATGGAAATAATTAACTGAAACAACAAATTGTATGTGTGTGTATGTATGTATGTGTGAGATTAATTATTGATATTCGGTGTTAATATGTTATATATGAAGGAATAAATAAATAAATGTTCAAGTTCACATAAAATGACTTCTCTATACTCGGCGCCTAATTTCTGTCAAACTATTCGTTCTAATCTTGACGAATATTCGTATAAATACTCATATATTTTATTGAAATTCACTTATTAATCCATTTCTAAATAAGAATTATTCTGATAATTGTTAGATAAGAGGAGATCATAACTAGACAATATATCATAAAAACTACATATCAACTTACAAAATTCATGTTTACTTAGTTTAACCAAAATTTCCTGGTTTTAAATTACAAATATTTAAGACTTACTTCATAATGAAAAAGCTATGAATTTCCCAATTATATATATATTTTTTGTTTCTCATTATACAAAATAAAAATATATCTCCATTAGAATTCATGGTAAATTTAACCCACAATATAGAAATATATGTTTCACTATTAAATAAATGCTTGATTAGATTAGGTCAATAATTATTTCTATAGTGAGATATTATATTATCTTTACCATTATATTAATAAACTGTTGTTACCAAGTGATGGTGTTTTATTTTTTATTAAATTCACTAATCAACGTGTAATCATGATACAGTTCAGAAAAATATATATATATATATATATTTCAATGATTAAGATCATGAGTCAATTGAAGCTAGACCACCATGGAAAACCTGGAAGCACTGGATGGCCGTTTCGTCCTATTATGGGACTCCTCAGCAGTGCGCATCCACGACCTCGCCCCCTGCGAGATTCAAACCCAGGACCTACTGGTTTCGCGCGCGAGCACTTAACCACTAGACCACTGAGCCGGCATCCAACGGTGTCAATGTCTAACTTCTGATAATAATCAACATATGCTCACTAGTGACTGGCTTCAAGAGGTATATCCTGGAGTTCTAGTGAGAAGTAGTGACCAGTGGAGTCCAACCAGGTCTGTTGTGGGATAGTAACTCACTGAAGACAATTGTGGATGTGTCGCTCAATTTCGTGGATTAGTTGAAGTTAGACATTGACACCGTTGGATGCCGGCTCAGTGGTCTAGTGGTTAAGTGCTCGCGCGCGAAACCAGTAGGTCCTGGGTTCGAATCTCGCAGGAGGCGAGGTCGTGGATGCGCACTGCTGAGGAGTCCCATAATAGGACGAAACGGCCATCCAGTGCTTCCAGGTTTTCCATGGTGGTCTAGCTTCAATTGACTCATGATCTTAATCATTGAAATTACTACAATCTCCACAAAACCCCTTCTGATAATATATGTATATACTCTTTCGAATTGTTATGTCAATTAAGAATATCACATTTGTTTTCTGCATTATTTCATTAGTAACAATGTTCCGTTTTACAATCATCTATTTATAAGTAAAAATAAGGAAAAAAGCTTTTAAAAATTTCTGAGTATTTTTTTTTCTGTTTTTCAATATTTATAACTGACTATAATAAATAAGTGATTTGCACAATAGTCAAGCACTCTGTATAGATAGTAGAAGTTATTTTATTTTATACCAAAAACATGTCTTCTGTGTTTTAACCCATTCATAGATAAATGATGATTGAACTAATGTCATTTTATATTATTAATTTAGTATTTGACTGTTATAATAACACTAAATACAAGTGCAGAATTTATCATGACATGTGATAATTGAAAAGTTGTAATAATAATTAATTCAAGCTAGTTATTGTTGCTTCATCTTTCTGTTGAACTCGTTTAGGTAACTTAAATTATAAAATTAAATCAGTTATCAAGTAAATTATATA